ATCGTCCGGGTTATGCATGTTGCAAGGACCTATGAAACGTCGGTAAACTTCTACGTGACTACACGGCGCAACAACCCAGAAGACAGCCACCTTCCATTACTGTCTATCGAAATCAGCCATTCATGGGATATTTTCCACTGTTTTTGCTTAATACCCAAGTATTCATCAGTAAGACATCCCAGTTTTTGATTTGACGTTCTTCATTAGGCTGAAGAATTACGTAAACCGATAGGTATGGACTTTCTGATACCAGAAAATGTTTCAACATATAAGCATCACAGCATTACAAAATATGAACGCGGGCCGTATAAATCACATCACACCACCAAATGTGACCCTGCTCTATACGGTCTACGCAAAGGATCTACATATGAAATGACGAATCGTATTTTGAAGAATTCTATAGTTTAAACCAGCGGTTTCAACCTGGGGTACGCGTACCCCCGGGGGTACGCGAAGACATCTTAGGGGGTACGTAAAATTTAAAAAAAATTATTTTATGATAAACACTGAATAATCAGTAGTGTAATTTATTTTAGATGTAGATTACATACTATGTACTACTTGAATTATGCATCAACAACTTTGGGGGTACAAAGTTGAAGAGAAATTATATCTGGGGGTATTATTATTAAGTGTTCTGTCTTACGACAGGTCCATTGCTCTGCCCAAACAGAGCTCTCCAGTTGTCCCTATTCTCGGCTTCTCGCTTTAATTCCTGGATCTGGGGGTACGCGAACAAAAAAGGTTGAATACCACTGGTTTAAACCAACATTATTTTTAGTGCTTTATAAGAAAATGCAGAATAGTTACAGGTGATAGAAACGAGACTTTCGGCTGGCGGCCATTATTGGTGGTCTATAAATTACACACTAGAGGCGATCAAGGGCAACTTCAAGGTGTCTGTTGGGCTTCCTCTGACGCACGTACTGGCTCTGTGGAAGGCTTCGGGGGCTTATGCAATTGACGCGTAATTTATCCTTAATAACAATACACCGTTTGCGAAAAAGGCCACAGGCAATATCACACTGCAGAGGGGAATTTACGAATTCAACTCCTGGCTCCACAGAATGTCTAAAAATACATTAAAAGAAGCATTATGGGAGTTGTCGTTTCAACCCTCCTGAAAAATATCTACCATAATTTTAACGTACATTTAAAGGTGAATTTTTTCCGAAATATATAAAGTAATATTAAAAGAAAACTGAAACATATTTAGATGGATGAGTGTGTAGGTTACAGATTAAAATCTTTGTCAAATGCCGAAAAACGTACTACAACGTTTGCATGCCTCACTGACCCACGGAGTTTTATTTACTGCAGACACAATCTGCTGTTACTATGCCAACAGAACAAAATATACACCACGCAGACAATGTTTTTCCTTCTACACGGCTAAATATTCATCATTTCGAAACATGAATGGAATAATCTTGTCGATGTAAGTTTCGTGTAATGTAAGGGGAATATTGGACCGATACTAGTAACGATTACATTCTTCTGACAGTCTTCAATGCAGACCCCAACAACAAATTTCGCCTACCTGTAATTAGGGAGATTAAACATGTGGACAGAACGACTATATCTTGCAATTCCACAGATCGGAATCCTGTAAACGGTGACAGCCGCCGCTCAGTTGATGAAGAAAATTCTACATTTTATGCAACCCAACACTCCATTACCATGTCCATACATCTCGCCACTGGACTCTATCCTAAGCCAGTTTAATCCGATCTACATAGTCATATCCTATTCCTATATACAAATCCCATTCCCATAAGACACATTTTAATATAATCCATCCATCTAAGCCTTAATTCAACAAAATCTCTCTTCCCTGGCTCTCCGACTAACAAGTCTAATTTTGTATGCATTCCTAACCTCCTTCGTTCGTGCTACACGCAATCTTCCTTAATTTGATCATCTTAATATCTACTGAAGAGTAAGAATTATAAAGGTCCTCGGTTAGGACACTAACAATCTTAAATGAAATAAATACGACTTTAATAAGGTGGATGTTCAGCATGGAAATTACTGTTAATAGGTTACCAAATAAATAAATAAATAATTTAAATCGCCTTTCTTCTCAACGTTTTGTGTCCAGCGGGTAGACGTCCTACACGTCGTACCAGATTCTATAAATGGTCTGCAGTCACCTAGCTGTGACCTTTCCATTGTGGAGCTGTTTCTATAGAAACCAGAACAAAAAATAACAAATAAAAGCAGAAGAGCGATATAATGATGGCAAGTCGTTGTAGTTACCATGGATACGGGTCCTGCAATGTGATGCAACAGCGACCGAACTCCTTATATGAACTTTTCCGTTGACCATCCTCCAGATTCTACTTGTACAGAAGGCTGCTGTTTGAAACTGAGTTCAAACGAGTGTATCACTTGGAACATCATATTAGGAGCGACGATATAAGTACATTAGAACAATAAATTTGGCGAACAAGCTTCAGGATTGCCAGGCTAATTAAGAAACCCGTGGAAGACGAGCATTTCCATCTCGAGTGTTTTCTAGAAGGGGACCGCAGTGGCCGCGCGGTCTGAGGCGTGGGCCTTGTGCCGCTTGGTCACTCGGACCGTGGGTTCGAATCCCACGCAAGCCATGGATGTTATGTCCGCGTCTTTCTGTGTTGTGCTGTCCTGTGTACAGGTAGAGGCCTTGCGACGGGCCGATCCCTCGTCCAAGGAGTCCTACCGAATGTCTATAGATCAAAGACAACGAAAAGTTGGGACCCGTAGTGCTCAGGCACTTGAAGAACGGGTCGTTCCCAGTATCAAGTATCCCAGAGTTTTCTGGAAACATCAATAACGAGACGGAAGGATAAATTTGGCAGTGACGTCAGTACTTCGAGAATAAATTATTATTATTATTATATGACTACAATTTAACATCTTGTTTTGTGTGAGCGTGAAACATGATCCCTCACGCTAATGAGAGAACACAGGCTACATTGAAGGTGTTAAGAACAGAGTGACAAAGTTGAGATCGGGCTCAGGGTGTTGAGAACTGGGTCCCGAGAAGAATACGTGAACCAAAAAGGGAAAAATAACAAACTTTTACAAATTACACATCAAAGAGCTTCATCATTTGTAACTCTTCAGCAAGGTGATCATACCCATCTTGCTGTTCTGGGTTCTAACGCCGTGTGGACCTGTAGGTATATACCGATGTTTAGGAAATACATAGGTCTACTGCCTCCACTTCCACGGCTCCTCTGAAGATGGAGACAGTATGTTTCTCCGAAACGTTGGTACCTACCTGCAACACCATACGGCGCCACAACCCAGCACAACATTGACACCTTCAATGTCACGAGAACCTTAAATCTATTAGGATTACAAAAATCTTAATAAATAAATGAGCAGAACATGCAGCACTCATGGCAGCGTCGAAAAGTTGCCACACTTTAATAACTGGTTACCGTAGTAAACCGACGTTTCGGGAACCAACTCTGTCCCCAACATCAGAGTACTGACATCAATTCTACGGTAACCAGTTGACGCGGCTGATTGCCCGAAAAGATTTTATTGATTGTACTCGCCGCGAAAGTCTCAAATCCTATATTACCACAATTTAGTTGAAACACCTAAATGAAAGAGATCCTCCGGGAAATTCATGATTAACTAGAGGATAATACTGAACTTTACCTTAGAACCAGTGTGGGAGGATGTGGACTGAATTTAACTGTCTCAGTACAGAGTCTAGTGACAAGCTCTTGTGAACCCGACAACGAACCCTCGGGTTTCATAAAAGACTGAGAATTTCTTGGCCGTTTGAGAGACTGTTGGCTTCTCAAAGATGATTCTGTTCCATGACATTAGACACATTTGTACATATTCGAATTAAAATAGCTATAATTGCAGACAGTGAAAATTATTTGGAGATTCAAGTATCTAAATATCGTGCCATCCTGAGCGATAAGTTGAAAAAATATGTACCGCTCAGTAAAGGTGCAAAGAATTTGATTGAATGTGATTTGGGTCATAAATAGACTGAACAATAGCGTGAAGTAGGAGTGCGCACATTTGTAAAAAAAATTCCTCGAGTTTCAACATTATTCAGTACAAGCATAGGGACAAGAATGTTTAGCTTCATGAAAGATAGGACCCGGCCCCTACCCAAGAAGACTGAGTTAACCCCACAGATGGTCCTGACGTTGAAGCGAAGAGAAAAATCCTGCCGTTTTGGAGTATCGAACTCAAGTCGTCCGAAAGCCATTGTACTAACTACGCTATCCCACTCAAACAACCTGTAACTTGCATAATGGAATACATTTCATTGAATATGCAGTATGAATGGGAGTGAAAGCTGCCTTTCTGAGAAAAGCAACATAATCTATGACATCCATCTGTTATTCCGTTTCATAGCACAACCTAACACCTGCATTCACTTACCTACACGCTTCACCCCATGTCTTCTTCCATGCTTAACTAACTAATGAGGTACGGGACAGAACACAATAGTTGCAAACAATCACTACTTTGCTCGATGGCACGCCTTGTTATCACGGATTTCCACTCTGAAATCTACTGATATACAAGTGACAGCTTGGAGTAACTATATTTTCCAAATGCATTCATTGGAATTTCAACTCTCTCACTGATCTTAAAGCTCATTAACAGCACATTCTTGTGAAATATAACTGCGTTACAGCAATTAACATTAAACTAACTAAACCATATCATTAGATCTTCGCCACTGAGTGTATAAATGACATCAAATCTTCCGCTTTCGGGAGTAAGCCGTATCGAATGTTGTTTTATTCAACGTTTCGGCAAACACTGTAGTTGCCATCTTCAAGGTAAATGTGTCGTGGTTGGGCAAATTTTTGGCAGGCAGTAGGTGGCGACCCAGAGCAACTGGACCAAGTAACGACACTACTTGAAAAGGCAGCCCTGACAAGATAATCGAAATGTTTTGCTTTGCCCAAAGAACGCATCACGTGTCTGTTCAGACGTACAAACGGATCAATATCACAGCATCGGCAGTTGTGATCACTGACGGCGCGTGTCGAGACTCGTTTGTGAGCAGGTAGGATCGCTGAGAACAAGGCGCTTCTAATATTATGGTAAGTAAATGTTGTCCGTTTGCAACTGTAAAACCTGAATGAAACATGTGTTACTATACATAATACCAGTTGCAACTCATTGTACTTGATGATGCAACTTTATTTCACCGGTTCTTATCTGATAAGTTTCTATTCACAGAAATTCAAATGTTATACACAGTATCGATATATGGGTATAGGAGTATCGATATTGTCACTATCCTGATGAATATATTCATACTGCGGAAAAGTTTCTAAAGAGTGGATATTAACTGTTCCGGTAACAGCGTAGAAAATACTCACAAATTATCTTCCAGATGTCACTGCAGTTGAAGAATGTGTGTTAATAAAAGTGCGCCAATTTATTTCGAATACATGACATTTATTTCAATAAAATTCTCTTTATTAAGAGTTTCTGTGACTTGATAACTTCCATTAGATTGTCGTAAAAATACATAAAAATGTATTCTTTTAAATTTTGGGTTCTTAATGTGGACATTTTCCACCATAAAACTAACAAATATCTCCTGTCACACCGACTTATTTTATCTAAAATACAATCACATCGATTCAATCCAAACCCAACCAAGAAGACATACCCCTAGTCGCAGCACTGCATCTTAAGCAGAAAAATTTAGAAAATTCATAGGTACTTGCTGCCTCCATCATCAGATCGCCCCGATGATGTAGACAGCAAGTACCTCTGTAATGTTCGTAAATGTCTACCAGACTACACAGCGCTACAACCCCGCCATCTTCATACATTCCACCGTGAGAATCTCAAATCCTAGTAGGGGAAGGAAGCTGTTCTAACAAACGAATGTTACACAGCGTTGAGCAAAATGGGAAGGTGATCATGAATTGTATCAGGTAAGGATCTGAAAGGAAGCTATCGTGGCGTATTTCGATGCCAAGACAAGTTGCTTGAAGGACTGATGAAAACCCCCTAGGTCGTACAACCAACTTCAGACGTGGGTGACTGGAAGCGGTTCCTCCCGAAGGCGAATCAGACGAGTTACCGCTCTCCTAGTCGTCCTAGCAACTGCAACTTTCCAGGAGTTTCCCTACCAAAATTATGTACAAATTCTGTGTCTCCCTCATGGCCAGTCCTTGTATACTTATATATTTCATTATCCTTTTGTTATAACGGGAATTAATTAATTTTCCGAGTCTGCTGTAACACCAAGTATTGGATTCTGAACGTCCCCGAAGTGACCAGGAGACAGAAGGAGTGATTGACACGCCAGATTTGGCCTCGCCACGTGTCTGTCCGTCACGCTTTGATGTACAGCTCATGAATAACTGGCAGGATACTGTTACCAGCATCAATTATTTATATTTGGTCTTAAAAACAGTCAGTCGACTTTTATCGATTTCACTTACTAAACATAAGGTAAAATTTATTTATATGGACTACTAGGTCATACGTAGTCTTAAAGCAGTTGACTAATATCGATCGGTGATCCTTACATCAAGCAAAAGGAAATATCAATCATATATATGGAATACTAGATCATAAGTGATTGTAACACAGTCGACCTAATATCGATTGGGCATTTATCATGTAACAGGAAATATCAATTATATATGAATAATAGGTCATACTAATTCATCCTGACGCATTCGACGTGCATGGATAATAGGTTCTTGCTTAAAAACAAACATAATATTCAGTATTTATGTAGCATATTAGGCAATAACTACTACTGAAAGCGTTAAATAGAAGAATAGAACTGGTCTCATCAGTGCATGACAACATCTTTGTTCGTAACGGCCAATTTTGTTCATCCAAGTAAGCGATAACCCATTTGTGCAACTTATTTTTCATGTCTGTCCAAACAAGCTTAAAGATTAATTTACTCTTTAAATACATTTAATTCAAATCCGGTTACCGTTATTCATTTATTCATGGCACGGTGGAAGATGATCACGCTTTACGTCACAACATGAGAACATGAACTCACCTTATTCTTCACAGCACGATATCCATTACTAAACTACACATCAAGAAACACGAATTGTTATTATTTATATTGTTAGCAGGTCACAATTCGTCTTGAAACGTTGGACTTCAATAACCGTCGACTGGATATAGAATAAAATTGTGTGATTTATTTGTGTGGAATACTGTCGTAATTAATGCAAGGACTTCTCGTAATGTCTCTAAACAGGTCAATTTTCATTATGTACCGCGGGCCGACAAGAAAAAATGTGTGAAATTTTTGGAAGAATGATCATGGAGTGTTTCAGGGGCGTCTTATCATTCTCCTGGAAGGATTAAAAAATTCAGTCAAGAAAAATGGTGGCCAGAACGGTATTCAAGCTTCATACGTCCTGAAAATAAATCAGTTGTATTTTACCGCTCAGTTCACTTGCTCGATGAAGCCAATTTTCGTGTCTTCCTTTCACGTTCGTTTTACGCATTCTTTACGCTCGTAAGATGGCCACATGGGCCCTTCCATGTCCGTCTGTCTGTCTGTCTATCGCGGTTTCCCTACGGGGTAGAAAACATGCATGACTGTTAAACACCGTTGCGTAACAATTGGAATCTAGGCATTATTGGAACACAGTTGCGAAACAATGACCTATGATCATATTAATGCAATAATGAAATATCAATTACCTTTTACTTTTATCCGTTATACGATTCTCATTCAAACACCTGTTTCTAAATTTACTATGACTGGCATCCCCCTTTTCTTTAAGTTTTCGGAATCGTTACTAGTTCACCTCCTTCTTTAACTTCATTTAATTGTACTTACTGTCCGTTTTAACATTCTTTGGCATCATTTAGAATAAGAAGATGAGTACGCTATGTAGGATTTGATGGTTTTACGGTGGTGAGTGATGATGGAGGCAGCAAGGACTTCTGAAACGTCGGTAATCTTCTATCAGACTGCACGGCGCAACGACCCATAAGACAGTCATCTTCATGAGTGAGTTACTTCGCATGGACCTATTTAACATGTAAAAGCTCATATATGCACGTCGTATGTCATCCATTTGAGTTTATCTGCACGGTTTATGGTTACAAACACCGACGGTAAATAAATTAATTTCGTTTTCGATTAATGCTTTACCAATAAGTAAAAACAGCAGAAGAACGGGCAATGGAAGAATTCAAGACACATTAAAGTTAATGCAATGCTTTTGGTCGTATAAATGCGATCGCGTTAAAAGGACACAAAAGGTTTAATGGGCACATGCACACTGGCAACCTTGGTCACCAGACTGGAGTTTTTACGACAGGTGTAACGATACTAAGGCCCCATACCAGTCTGAAAGATGTTGATGGAGGTCGGGAACACTGCGGTTATGTCAGTCAGCAAGTACGCCCACTTTTGCTGCTTTGACTGACGGCAATTTGTGCAGAACAGTCCACAATGCAGTGTCTTTTGCGAACCGCTTACTACTCCAGTTTCAATATCTGAAGGGGCAGTCACTGAAGGGAAAAATAATTGTACTAGTCCTTAAATAACAGGTTTCGCTTCCAGACTCGCAATTAATCAATGAAGTAGTTAGTTACTCAGTCACGTAACCAACTTTGTTAGTCAGTCTTACCAGAAGTTAATCTGTCTGTTTGTCAGATAGCCAGTACGTAACTTAATTGTAAACAATTCGACTTCTCTAACGGATAGTATAAAATAATTTATTGAAATAAAATTCAACCATCTAGTAACAGTTCGTCTGAAATGTCGGAAAATTTTACCATATCGGCACGGTGTGAGGCCTAAAATATTCTAAAATAAATATGGACCATCCCACATAGTTAGCTAGTCCACGAGTTCTTCACTTAGTAAATAAGTTTGTTAGTCAAATAGGCTATAACCATTATAATCGTTAACAGAAATATCAGATGTAGTAGTAATGACGAAATCGACCCTGCCAGCATACGAACATCGAATCTTCTGATACGTACTCAGCCGCGTTATCTGTTGCGCCACTGGGCCCCAGAACCTCACCTGTTCCTTACTTCGTTACTTTAGTGCGTTTTTTAGCATCTGCATAAATTAATATAAAGAATGACCCAAAAAGTTGTATATACACATTCAATGAATGAAATAAACAACACTAATAAACCAAACCATTACATACGCCAGCACTGACACTTGGTGAATTAGCAAATCTAGTGTAAGTGTTCAAAATCACCACCGATAGCTTCGTGGCACATTTGACAGCGGTGAGCTACTGACTGACAAGCGGCTACCAGAGTTTCTGCTGGGACGGCTGAACAAGGCCGTTCAATTTCTTGCAGTCTCTGGAAGTGTTACTGGCTTTGTGTTGAACATCGCGCCCTTCAAGTAACCCCACAATAAAATGTTATATGGGGTAAAATCTAGCAATCGCAGGGGGTACTGGACAGATCCCCTGCGACTTACCCATAGGTCGGGACAAGCGTTGTCAGGACAGGCCCTGACATCACGATGGTAATTTGGGGGGTTCCCCGTCTTGTTGAAACATGTCATCATATTCAGACAGCTGACAAACGGCGGGAAAAATTGGTTCTTAAATGTGCAGATACCTTTTTAGACACCTGTAGTTTGTGTCTCCCAATTTCTAAACCGACTTATCGACTTCTTAGACTGCTGCATGAAAAACGCAGAAGACACAAACGATTTTATCAAACTTATTTTTCTTAATTCGGAGTTCATGAAACAACGTGTTATTTTCTTATATAAAAGTGAATACTTCGGATTATTTACGTCTTCGTGATCCCGGAAATAATTTGCTACTCGTATGGTGTGGGCATCAGGTCCGCAGTGTCCGTGCGGTCTGAGGCGTGGGCCTTGTGCCGCTTGGTCGCTGGAACCATGGGTTCGAATCCCACTCAAGCCATGGTTGTTTGTCCGCGATTTTCTGTGTTGTGCTGTCCTGTGTACAGGTAGAGGCCTTGCGACGGGCCGATCCCTCGTCCAAGGAGTCCTACCGAATGTCTATAGATCAAACCAACGAAAAGTTGGGACCCGCAGTGCTCAGGCACTTGAAGAACGGGTCGTTCCCAGTATCCTAGTATTATGTGGGCATAACTACAGGGCCTGAGGCTAAATACAAATGAACACCACTGTTCTAGTGCAGCTGACAAATAGTGCCATATTTCTCGCCAAACGGACATCAGAACGACATTGGCGCTACGGGTTACAGGACCCAAGCCCGATACCCCGGTCTCGTCCGCTTTCTTATACACCATCATTTTAAGATCCGCCTTGGACATTCCAGAATCAATAGCTGTAATATACAAGGATAATTTCAACTGGAAGCCATCGCTACTCTCACAGCCTCAACACAAAACTGATTTTATTAAGTTACACTGCACACACAAGGAATAAAGTTTAAAGGAAACAGCAGTATACAAGTAGCTATGTGATTACTTAAAACTTGGATTTTTAAAATTTGAACGCTAAAAGTTATGTGGCGCGAAATAAAAATGTAATTCTACAGAATGGCGTCAGATCACCTCCAAAGTCAACAACGCAACTATTTAATATCAATATAAATCCAATCACGGCTAATAATAACGTAAATACCAGTAAGTGAAGTCTTGCTCCTTGCGTATATCATCAGTTATTTACATAATATACAAGCAACGCCTACAAGTTTCGCCTCAGAAAGACTTGAATGAATTATAAAGTTAATTCTGTATAGAAATATAAACTGAAATTTGTCAGATGAATTTTAATTTAAGTCTAAACACACGGTTTAACCCAAACTTCATTCACAGTATACTTCAAAACAGACTCCAATAGTCTACAAAATTATTCACAGTACATCGCATAAAACAGGTCTTCAGGTCTACAGAGGAAATTTTAAACATGTTTCGATATGATATACATATCATGAAATAACAAAGAAAAATATTGCATCTGTAATGTAATTTCTACTGTTGATCACGTCACAAATAGAATCCAATGCGACATTAATAAACTTTAAGCCTAATGCTGGACAGGAAATCACTAACAAGGTATCTAGAAAATGGTCATACTTCTATTCGGCCTGTAAACAAATAATGCACAGAGAGAGAGGCTGCATGCATATTTACTAATCACACACTTGTCTTCTCACCAGACAAGGTGGACGTGTTGGCTATATACGGTCCTCGTACAGCACACAGCCTACATTGCGGTCACTCAACTTTCACTTGTTTATCCAGCAGTCAAGATAACATGTATCTGACGCTATTTTGTAGGTCACTTGATCTGACTGCCGTTCTTACGCTTAGGTTACAGCGGCGCCTATCTACAGAACATCCACCGCCCAATTAATACATGAACAGATAAGGTAACAATATTACTTCATCTTCGCTTTTTGACATCAGTTTTAAATTTAATGTCGTGCGATGTTACGGTAATTACGGGAGCTAAATTTCACATTCTTATAAAGAAAATAACCAATGGACGTAATATTATCCGCACGGTTCGTTCTCGCTTAAACCTCCGACGGACAGAGTTAAAATGCACCACTGTTCAAACAACGAAAGGAAAATGGGGTAATCTAGTTTTGCATGTTACCGACACTAGGAAAAACCCCCCACTGAATTGCATTTTAAATACCCAGTATAAAAATATAAGATACTTCACTAAAAATGTGAATATGTTTTTATCTTGATTTTACGACGACAAATATTTAAATCACGTTTCACCTTCAATTTCTAATAATTACCTGAGATAACAAAATCGATTTATAAATTGCTAGTTGCAGTTTTATGTAAAAACAGCTTTCGGTTTTAAGTCCTGTACATACTATAAATAAGCCTGATAATAGGTGTTAAACCGAAACAGGTAATCAATTTTATTATTTCAATATGTAAAACTACTCGCAGTAAAGTAAATTAGTTTGTGTGTAAGACGGGATACAATTTTTACGTATTTCCCATAGTCTATGATAGTTCTAAAGCAAGAAAGATTTACAAAGTAATAATTATAACTTACAACTTAATCGTCCATTCTGTGTATAATTCCTGCAAGTAAAGATTCCCCGTGCGGCCAAAGTTAAATTTGTTAGCTAGAACCATTGACATGTTTGTAAATGATAACACACGTAAATGTTCTGTATGTGTTTGACCTATCTTCTCCACACATTTCAGATGCTTAGCTTCAATGGTTCATTACTGTTGTCGTCAAGGAAATGAGAACTAAATTAAGATTTCGCGTGGTCAGACATTCAATTAAAGTTATATTAATGACACTTTCACTACGAAAATTCGGGCGGTCGCTATATTAATACTGACATAGACAGGAGATAAAAAAATACAGACTTGGAATTGTCTCAAGGGCATTATATTCATACAAAGTTTCATTAAAATCTGTCAAGTGGTTCAAAGCTCGTTAGGGAGGAAAGACGCTAACGGAAGTACGGACAGACGAACTAGCTAGAACAACGCTACATGTCCACACAAAAGAGAAGTAGGTTATAAGTTAAAATGGAAACACAAATGAAGACGTGCGGTATAAATTAAATTCAGCATGGATACTCGACTCTATCTTGCTACGCTGGCTGGTACAGTTTCCACACGATCCAAATTGTGAACAGTGACCTTGCCAATTTTCTATGTGAAAAAGACCTTGGAATTAATGTGTTTGTAGGCGTGTAGCAACTTCATTCGAACTGGACACTTTTTGTTGGACCACATCCAGAGACACAACATCTCTGATACGGGAGAAGAATTTCTGCAATGACGACACGAGTTGCGAAAAAAGAGCTTCAGTCAAGAGAACCGCTATAAAACTACAAATACCTCTGCCTTCTTCTTCGCCGTCATCTTTAAGCACTACGGAGAAGAGAAAAGAAAGAAAGAAACACAAAAGGAAGGGAAGAGTGAAAGAAGAAACAGACACAAAAAAGGCTGGAAGAAAGGACGAGAAAATGAGGCACTAAGCGAGAAAAAGAGACCGAGATTACAGAAAGCCCCTTTGATTACTGTCTGTCTTCTGTTCTTGATGCATAACATCTTCTCTTTTAATTTGACTCTAAATAATCGCTACAGGTGATACAGCCTAGATTAGTCAATACAAATTCATAACATTAAACTTACGATCTGATTTTGTAAATACCTGTGAAGAAACAGTATATTGGGGGGGG